GAAACACGACGCCGCAAGTACCACCCAAAGCAAGCTCTGAAAACAAGGAAAGCTCTGAGAATGGAAATAGACCTGGCAATTCCAGGGAAGAACGCCAGAGTCGCGAGAGTAACGAATCTGAAGAAACGGTCCCACAACAACATTCTGGAGAGAACACTGACAGCAAAGAAAATCCTGACATTGAAGTAACTACACCACATGATTCGAAGGACGAAAACGCCAGTAAAGGAAGTGGAGAATCAGGAAACACGACGCCACAAGTACCACCCAAAGCAAGCTCTGAAAACAAGGAAAGCTCTGAGAATGGAAATAGACCTGGCAATTCCAGGGAAGAACGCCAGAGTCGCGAGAGTAACGAATCTGAAGAAACGGTGCCACAACAACCTTCTGGAGAGAACACTGACAGCGAAGAAAATTCTGACATTGAAGTAACTACACCACATGATTCGAAGGACGAAAACGCCAGTAAAGGAAGTGGAGAATCAGGAAACACGACGCCACAAGTACCACCCAAAGCAAGCTCTGAAAACAAGGAAAGCTCTGAGAATGGAAATAGACCTGGCAATTCCAGGGAAGAACGCCAGAGTCGCGAGAGTAACGAATCTGAAGAAACGGTGCCACAACAACCTTCTGGAGAGAACACTGACAGCAAAGAAAATCCTGACATTGAAGTAACTACACCACATGATTCGAAGGACGAAAACGCCAGTAAAGGAAGTGGAGAATCAGGAAACACGACGCCACAAGTACCACCCAAAGCAAGCTCTGAAAACAAGGAAAGCTCTGAGAATGGAAATAGACCTGGCAATTCCAGGGAAGAACGCCAGAGTCGCGAGAGTAACGAATCTGAAGAAACGGTGCCACAACAACCTTCTGGAGAGAACACTGACAGCAAAGAAAATCCTGACATTGAAGTAACTACACCACATGATTCGAAGGACGAAAACGCCAGTAAAGGAAGTGGAGAATCAGGAAACACGACGCCACAAGTACCACCCAAAGCAAGCTCTGAAAACAAGGAAAGCTCTGAGAATGGAAATAGACCTGGCAATTCCAGGGAAGAACGCCAGAGTCGCGAGAGTAACGAATCTGAAGAAACGGTGCCACAACAACCTTCTGGAGAGAACACTGACAGCAAAGAAAATCCTGACATTGAAGTAACTACACCACATGATTCGAAGGACGAAAACGCCAGTAAAGGAAGTGGAGAATCAGGAAACACGACGCCACAAGTACCACCCAAAGCAAGCTCTGAAAACAAGGAAAGCTCTGAGAATGGAAATAGACCTGGCAATTCCAGGGAAGAACGCCAGAGTCGCGAGAGTAACGAATCTGAAGAAACGGTGCCACAACAACCTTCTGGAGAGAACACTGACAGCAAAGAAAATCCTGACATTGAAGTAACTACACCACATGATTCGAAGGACGAAAACGCCAGTAAAGGAAGTGGAGAATCAGGAAACACGACGCCACAAGTACCACCCAAAGCAAGCTCTGAAAACAAGGAAAGCTCTGAGAATGGAAATAGACCTGGCAATTCCAGGGAAGAACGCCAGAGTCGCGAGAGTAACGAATCTGAAGAAACGGTGCCACAACAACCTTCTGGAGAGAACACTGACAGCAAAGAAAATCCTGACATTGAAGTAACTACACCACATGATTCGAAGGACGAAAACGCCAGTAAAGGAAGTGGAGAATCAGGAAACACGACGCCACAAGTACCACCCAAAGCAAGCTCTGAAAACAAGGAAAGCTCTGAGAATGGAAATAGACCTGGCAATTCCAGGGAAGAACGCCAGAGTCGCGAGAGTAACGAATCTGAAGAAACGGTGCCACAACAACCTTCTGGAGAGAACACTGACAGCAAAGAAAATCCTGACATTGAAGTAACTACACCACATGATTCGAAGGACGAAAACGCCAGTAAAGGAAGTGGAGAATCAGGAAACACGACGCCACAAGTACCACCCAAAGCAAGCTCTGAAAACAAGGAAAGCTCTGAGAATGGAAATAGACCTGGCAATTCCAGGGAAGAACGCCAGAGTCGCGAGAGTAACGAATCTGAAGAAACGGTGCCACAACAACCTTCTGGAGAGAACACTGACAGCAAAGAAAATCCTGACATTGAAGTAACTACACCACATGATTCGAAGGACGAAAACGCCAGTAAAGGAAGTGGAGAATCAGGAAACACGACGCCACAAGTACCACCCAAAGCAAGCTCTGAAAACAAGGAAAGCTCTGAGAATGGAAATAGACCTGGCAATTCCAGGGAAGAACGCCAGAGTCGCGAGAGTAACGAATCTGAAGAAACGGTGCCACAACAACCTTCTGGAGAGAACACTGACAGCAAAGAAAACCCTGACATTGAAGTAACTACGCCACATGATTCGAAGGACGAAAACGCCAGTAAAGAAAGTGGAGAATCAGGAAACACGACGTCGCAAGTACCACCCAGAGCAAGTTCTGAAAACAAGGAAAGCTCGGAGGTTGGAAGTACAACACCACGTAACTCCGAAGAGGAAAGTCAGAATCGCGAGAGTGGCGAAACTCAAGAAACCACACCGCCAGAATCATCCAGGGAGAGCATTGACAGCAAAGAAAATTCTGACGTCGAAATAACTACTCCACATAATTCGAAGGATGGAAATCATGGTAATGGAGATTGTGAATCTAAAAAAACTACGCCTCAAGTATCATCAAGTGAAAGTTCTGGAAGCAAGGAATCTTTTGAAAGCAGTATCACTCGTAGTTCGTCCAGCGAAGAGAGCGAAAGTGAGAGTAGCGACGATAGTAGCTCAAGTAGTGATGAGAGTAATTCAAGTAGTGATGAGAGTAGCTCAAGTAGTGATGAGAGTAGTAACTCGAAAGTAACGACATCAACGGTATCTCCTGAGGAATCAACTTCACCAAATCTTCCAACATCCACTGAGTTTCCAAGAGGAACAACTATTCCTACTGAAGTCACTTGTCCTGTTGGGGAGTTGACTGGGGATCAAGTACTTCTTGTTTGTCCTACTGGTTTTCGACGTCATCCAAAATACTGCAATCTCTTCTATCAATGTACACCGACGAATGATTTGGGCGCTAAAGTTACTGTGTTTAGCTGTCCAAGAGGCAGAGTTTTTGATAATAAAAATTTACAGTGCGTCATAGAAGCTGACATTCATAGAATTCTTACTGGGCATGGCACGTGCAAATATTTTGATCCCTTAACTACTGATATACCAATATCACTCGTAAGTATAATATATTATAGATATTTTTATGCATAATTTATAGTTTGGTGTATGTATTTTTATGCATAATGTATGGTGTAATGTATTTTTTATACATAATTTATATTTAGTGTATGTCTATCGTTTAGTTGTACTAGGGGTTTACAAAAGATTGTCGGTGTTCTATTTATTTTTTTTAATAAGTAAATGTAACTATTTATGCTACACGTACAATTAGTTTATAAAGTTTGTGCTATCGTTATCCACTATTTTCTGCCGCTTTTCAAGAAATTAACCGATTCCGCATTGAGAGGATAACTCATCTCTGTTGAGTTAATAAAGTCGAATTCGATTCGACTAAATTTTGCAAACTTCTGATACAATATTATATAATTTCGTTATCTTCGAGTTATAATAAATACAACATCTATTGTCCATTTTAAGTCCATATCGTTCTTATACTGTTTTGTATTGAAATGGGTGTAGTATTATTTTTTATTATTACATGATCAAAGATAATGCTATTTTATTATTTTTATATTTTGTGTAAGTAGATTATATTCCCTATCAGTTCAATCTATGCCATAAAATGTTTATTTGACTAATTTTATTGTATTTAAATCCTAATATATATTGCTGAAAAAATTCGCTCTCGATGACTACCAACGCAAGCGACAGTATTTGCTATAAAGAACTATATCATTGCGATTTTTCAAAGACGAACTCGGCAAAATTGTTAGTTCACTAAATATTCGGTGCGATCTTTACGGTGCTTATAAATTTTATATTTTCAGCTGGAAGTCTCCGAAACAAAATTATGTCCAGGAGAAGGTCATTATCCATATCATAAGGGTTGTTCGAATTTATATTATAAATGTAGACGTGATGTCCGCAACGTACTCCAAGGATACCTTGTGCAATGTCCAGATGATCATATATATTCGAACATTTCAAGATGTTGCGTACATGCTAAATATTTTCCAATGTGTCAACCTTGTGAAAGCAAGGTGTAATAATGGGAAACAACAGTGTCGTCCAAATAACAAAGAATACTTATCATCCAAAAGGCTATACATTAGCCATCAAGAATCGTTTTATATTGGCCCACCGCCGTATTAAACATATTTCTAGAAAAACAAATGTAAGATGAACATCTAATTGTATGTTTGTTTCTTTATACAATATTTTAGAAAGTTTTAGTATAAAAAGGATTTTAAGAATTAATAGTATATAATGTTTTGATTCAATAAAAAGAGCTATATATATATACGAGATGTGAATAAAAAATGTGTAAACAATTTGAATAAAATATATTTTACATTGCCACACAGCAAAAATATTCAAAATACATTATGGAGATATCGTAGAGATACGATATCTTTAGGATATCCCAATAATATATTTTGAACATTTCTGCTATATAGGACATAATTTAGGTACAAGTATAAGTATACGGACCATTTTCTAACTTTAAAAATTGATACTTGCCCAGATAACACAGGATGTCCTATGGACGTCCATTTTATGTCCATTTTATGTCCGCACATCCATGGACATGCAACGGATGTCCATAAGATATCCGATTTTAGACATCCGTTAATGTCCATAATTTGGATATCCATAAAATATCTGATCTTGGACATAAATGTCTTAAGTATAAAATTCGACTATAGACATGTTGAGAATGCGCGCTATCAACGCTACATATCATTTTATCCCCAGACAGCAACGTCACGTCATTTTCATGTCGATAAATGATGATTACCAGTTCTAGATGTCATGTAACCAATAACTGACGTTTAAAAAACGTGAACAATTTTGACGTGATAATAACGTCATTTAGAGACATCTATAATACGTTTTTGAGAGGTCATTTTTAATCAGCTGTTCGATAAGCAAAGAATGTGACAGATTTTTATTTAATGTTCATTTATATCAACTGTGGTGTATGTAACCAACAGATTATTATTTATATATGTTGTTATTTATTTTTTATGTGCTTGCATCTCAAGCATTTAGCTCTTAGAAATAAACCTTATAAGACTTGTTCTACCATTTCTTACTCACGAGCATTGCATCGTTATAATTATCCAGTTAATAGGATGATGTTCAAAGTTATGTTAATGAGAAAATGTTGACCCAAAAGAATTATCCGAGCCTAATTTATTCTAAAGTATTCTTCGGAACTTTATTATAATAAATATTTCGCGAATCATTACTTGGGAAACTTTAAGAATTTGTAAACAATTACTATTATTAACTAATTTTATTTACATTTTATGGTTACCATAGACAGATACCCTATCGCTTATAATAAGCGTTGATTTATATTTTATATATAAATTTAATTAATTTAATTAAATCTTATATAATAAGGTAGATATAATAAGGTAGATTTTTCTTTTTTTTAGTATTTTATAATTACTCAAAGTTTATAGTCTTTTATGACTTTATTCAATAACAGTTAACAATAAAGAATTTTTATTATAAAAATTAAAATATAACGAAATAGAATTGTGCGGAATTTTATAGACCTTATCTCATTAGCTAAGGGTTAAATTAACAATAAAAGTACAAAAAATATATTTTTTATTGAAATTAAATCATTTTATTAAATCATATTACCAGAAAATTATATTACTGTGTTAATTACAATGTGTTAATTACATATATAGACAAAATGTAAGACGTTTATATCGATCAATAAAGTGGTGTCGTGTCTAAAGCAACAGATTCATAATCGAGAGGTGCCTCGCGGATCTAAGTTCGAGTTCCCTCGCGCCAGTGCCAGTGAGTGAGAATTTTTAAATGTGATGTAACAATTGGAATCAAGTAATCTAAAATTTTCAAGTGAAATCAGCAAACGCTGTAACATTTACGAATAGTTTCTGTTAGAAAATTGAACCGAATAAGGACACTAAAAATAATATTCAATGTAGGTCCTTTTGTGAATATTCCAAGGACGTCCAAAATAGATAGATAGGACATCCTATGAACGCTCACCGGACGTCTTTTGGGCTTTATTCGAACGTCTTTATGAACGTCTCAATACCCAAACTTGAACGTCCACTAGACGTCCATGTGCTATCTGGGAAAGATGTCATTATTTGATTAACTTGAAGGATAAATGACGTAACAGATGACTTAAAATTCACGTCATTATCACGGCTGTCTGCTACTTGGGATGTTTTTCGAATGTTGAATTGCAACGTCTTATAGACATCTATATATCTTGTAGCATCTAAGATATTGCAATTCAGCGGACATTAGACGTTTCTATAACGTTTCTTCAATGTTGAATTTATATTTTGCAATGTTGATACATCTTAATGTTGAAATTAAACGTTTATAAAATATAGATTCAACGTTTCTGTGCTGTATGGGATATTATTATAGTGTTAGTATTCCCATTCATAGAACATTCGTACATTCTAAGAACACTCTCGAACATTCTCTGAAGATTTTGTGCTATCTGGGTTATTAGTATTATTGTAAATTCTGAATTCCAACAAAATAAATTATGGAGAACTTTGTTTTCTTTGAATTACATTGATATCTCCTAATAGCCAAGTCTGCTGGAAACAGATTTTGCCAAACGCCTGTTGCAGGTTTTGTAGGCAAAATGACGTTAAAATTGTTACGGGTTCTGTAGTATAAAATAATTTCAACAGAGTGCCAGTAGTATTTAGACAAGATTTGTTAAACAGGTTTGATAGCAGAATTTAAACAGAACCTATGATCATGCCGTGTGCAGTTTGATAGCAGATTGGAGGTAGAAACGCAGCAGATCCTGCCACTTTTATATCCTTCATCTTCGTCTTTTTAGTACTTCAAGGAAACGTCTCTCAGTCAAAGTGACAATAGTGCAGTAGATAAGGTAAATGATTCAAAAACCAGAGGTCTCAGATTCGAATCTCAGCAATGGTAAACAAATTTTTGAAGCACAATTTAACTTGAATTAAGTAGTGTGTGAAACAATAAAGTGAAAAATTTAAGAAAAATTCAGGAAAAGAGAAAAGTATATATAAATATATATATTTTAATAAATATTTTTATAATATTTATGATAAAAATATTTATGATCTATTGAATCTAAGGTCACGAAAATATTTATGAAATATTTTAGTAAGTATTTATAAAATAATCAAATAAATTTTATAAATATTTTGTAAAGGTTTTATAAATATTTTGTGTTGTTGGGGTCTCTTTCTGCCGTCAGACTGCGTACAGCAGGATCTGCTGCGTTTCCATCACCAATCTGCCGTCAGACTATATACGGCAGGATCTGTTGCGTTTCTGCCACCAATCTGCCGTCAGTCTGTATACGGCAGGATCTGCATATTTTCTGCGTTCAGTCTGCCGTCAATTGATTTTGGCAGGCACTGTCAGCTGTGCATAATATGTATACAGTTGTGCTGATTGTACATAATATGTATACAGTTGATGCCAATCTGCCATAATCCTTTAATTTATAATTTTTGTAAAAATTATTTTACTGAGAAACTAATTTTACTCTTTACTAATTTATCATATATTATATCATTTGTATAAAATATTATTAAAATTATTAAACACATAAGAAATAACATTAAAAAGTCTACTTTTTGTATTATTCCGCGTATTCCGCTCCATGGGACATAAGGAAAATAGAAAAAGCGCCGGAAGAAAAGCGGAACGGCTGTGATTGGTCGTGCTAATTCCGCTGAAAATTTCCGCTCCATGGGACGGCACCTTCAGGACACCATTACATGAAACGCGGAAACGCGGAAACGTGGAAGACAAAATATTACTAGATTTCCGCGTTCCGCGAATTGAATCATTTCTTCCTGTACGTTGAAAAAGCGGAAAAGCGGAAGGCCCAAAACTTTTCTCTATTGTCTTTTAATCCAAGACACAATCAACCGATGCAAAGAATTATCTAGTGAATTACCAGGGCGAATCAATCATTACAATCTGTGTCCAATCGTACCGTAGTCAATCGGGTCCTACCCGCTCCTGCACATAGAACGCGGTAACGCTTGCCGCGCGGCGGAAGTTACTTAGGGAATAACGCGGTAGCTAATCAATGTACTATTTTTCCGTAAGAACTAGAAGGTTATTACGGAATATTGTATATTGATTGGCTGTCGCATTAACTTAAGCGCGGCGAGCGTTGCCGTGTTCTGTATGCAGGAGCCATAAAGCGTCTTCTACAATGGCAGTAGGAGTAGTAGTAAGAAATAAGCAGTAAGCAAATTGACCAATTCCATTCTCATGTTTCAAAAATAATCGATTGTGATTAGTCTATTTACTTACTGCTTATTTCTTACTACTACTCCTACTGCCATTGTAGAAGACGCTTAAGACTTGTTCATCAATGACGTATATACATAGACTAAGCATAGGATGCATTCAGTACTACAGTCGCTCACTGAGCGTTCAGTGAGCTCTTACATTTGATTGGTATATATATTTTTAGATCTAAAAGAATATACCAAAGAATATACCAATGGGATGCAAGAGCTCATTGAACGCTTAGTGAACGATTGTAGTACGAATGTAACCAATGGATGCGTTCAGCAGATAAAAGCGTTCAGTGAGTGTTTATTGGTTTATTCCATTGGTTCCCTATATTTAAACCAATTATGTTTACGAATCACTCAACAGTTATACAACTGTTGTGTCTGCTGAACGTGCCCATTCTGTCTGTAAAGCCCATTCTACAATTGCGTGAACGTGGTGTAAGTGGTTGTAAGTGATTACGACAACCAATCAGAGTAAAGCAATCAGTGAATAAAACATTCGGATTGGTTGACTCTTACGTTCACGACTACGCTTACGCAATTGTAGAATGGGCTTAAAATGAAGCCGGAAGTTGGCAGTTTAAAACAGAGTGAGAAAATTGATTTGCCCCTAATGCTTTCTCACTCTATCTTATTGACTGTCAAGCAGGAGGGCCCGTTTAATATTGCAAATACTTCAAAACGTTAAATAAAATAATGTGATTGATCCATTCGTTGCTCTGAAGCACTTACAGCATTAAATGGAACTATTTACAGCACTAATCTAAGACTGTATCCCGTCATAGCAACCTAACCTAACTTTTTTCATTTGACAGTGGAATGAAAACAGGATTAGAGCAATTGCTGTGATTATTTATACACAGCATAAAATATTATAAATATCAATTTCATATCGAGGTAAGTGAAATATACAATTTTATTTTTTTAATTCTGCACTGTATTATATATAGCACTTAACAGCTTGACAGCGGCCATACTCTTTCTATA